CAGGCAGCTGGTGCTGGCCACTCCCAGGGCCACTGCATCCAGGACTGGGGGGTCTGTGCCGTGCCCTGCATTGCCCAGGGCTCCACTTGTCCACATTCACCCCAGCCCATACTGGAGCAGCCCCGGGAGCAGCTGACACCAGTTGCCTGCTGCAGGACATGGCACAGCCCAGGAGCAGAGGTGAGTGGAGACAGGTTGAGTCCAGGCATGGGGGGACAGGTGGAGCACAGTGCAGCCCAGCCGCTGCAGGCAGCTGGTGCCGGCCACTCCTGGGGTCACTCTAGCCAGGGCTGGGGTGAGTGGGGCCATGGCCCTTTCCCCTCTCCCCACAGATTTACCTGCTTGGGCGTCTATGCTGATTGCATAAGAGCGAATTTACCTTGCATATAATGAATTATAGGTCTAAATATGCTCATTGCATAAGAGGGAATTCACATATAAAGAACCCACATAAATCATGGGAAACCTGTATTAACATAGAAGATGTCTTTTCTAATCACTGTTACAAAAGCTGCAAGTACTAATAACCAGTTACTAAACTTACTTGTGCAATATTTCTTCTTTTTCCTCCTATCCATCTGAACTTCTAAGCAGGCAAGTTCACGGGACTGTAAGACAGGACCAATACAGAGATTGCTACAGAACTGGATATAACTTTTATCCCGCTATCTTGCCATTAGGGCTGGCAAATATTGTAAATGCTGTTGCAAGCAGCAGGCATGATCCCTAGGGCTAAGCATCTTATATTCTTCTGAAATTACTTCTCTTGCAGACTAAGTGATATGAGTGTACACTTAAGAGTCATACCTAAACCTCATATGAAAGGAGGGTAGCTTGTAACATAACAACTTAAGTATCGATGTGATAAAAAGGAGACAATGATAGCGTTCTTCAAGCTCTTACATATAGCCTTCTCAAAAGGGGAAAAGATATTGTAAGTACAGGTGTCATTGGAAAAGATTTATTATGTATCTACAGTGATAACGAAAATCAACTTCAGAGCCAACTTCAGAGCCACTGTCCAACCATTTTAACTGAAATCCCCCTCCCCTCCCCGACCTTCAGTTTTCAGCCTAAGTCTGGAAGTCCTGCTACTCTTTAGGGGCCTTAAGTTGCATTTTACCCTAGCCTTCCTTTCCTTCACTGTGTTTGAAACTCACCCCAGTAATACAGGCTGCAAATACAGGAAGGCCACCACCAGCAATCCCTGACTAATGCCTCTTCTGTCCCCTACTTCCTTCCCCTACCGACAATAATTAATGTTAAGCACAGAAGGAGAGACAGGTAATGGGTAGAATGATTCTAGGAGAGGAAACAGGAGGGACAATCTGTAGCAGCCGCAAGGTAGAGATAGAGAGATCTCTTATGATTTTGGCTGGCTGGGAGTAACCATCAGGACTAACCATAAATAGCAGTATAAACATATCCAAAAGAGTCCACAAACTACTCCAGCATCACCCTCTGCTTCAGGATGAGACAGAATATGCAAAGTCAGCTCACTGATTTTCTAGTCCCAGCACTATTATACACATTACTGTGTAGCATAGGAAAAAATAACAAAAAATAAAACTCACCACTATTACTCCATTAGTGATGATGTTTTCAGGAGGACCTAGACTAGATAAACATGAAACATGCATTCAGAACTGGTATAATCTAAATGCTAACTTGAAGCAGACAGCAGAGCCATGCTGACACTGCCTCCATAGTGACCTCAGGAGTGCAAACAAGAAGCTTCCCTCCCACAAACAGCTCATTCCCACTCAGAAATTAGACAGTGTATCTGGGTCTGTTAAGACTTATGCACGTGCCCTGAACCTTTCACAAGCTCTCTGTCCTGGGTGTGCTTCTTGGCATGAGTTCTGGGTCATATTAGTACTATGTACACATGTTCCAATGATTTGGAGAATTCTCCCAGATTTCTTTTTCTGGTAGAAAAACTTACCTGGAGACCCTTGAACAGACATTCAAATGATGAGATGCTGTACAGCTGGGGGCTCCCTGTGTACATATGCTCTGCAAGCTCTGCAGTCTTTCTGGTGACAGATGACATCAGTGCACAGGGATGCCCTGACTGGCTAACCTAGATTTCCTTGCAGGTTGTGTCTCCCTGCAGCACAGTGAGGGGGTTGTGAAGGGGATCCCTGCTCAGCTGAAGCAGAAGAGTCCAGGCCAAGTGATACACTGTGAGTGCATCTACACATGATACCACATCACCGTAGCAATGCACTACAGTGACTTAGCATCCGTGGGGATCTACACATGACCAGCAGCTACTTCACTGCAGTGATGCACTCCCCTGTTATAGCGCACTGCTACCGCGAATTAGCTGTTAAAAATAACCGTGTGCAATGTGCACAGTGCAGTACAGGCTGTTACTAAATCATGGTGCAGTAACGTCACCATAGGAACATGTGTAGATGTACCCTGTCTCCCTGGATGTGTGTGTGAGTACAATCGCGGGAGCAAAGAATGATGGGATGCTGGAGGACTGCTGTGGCTTCTCTCAGAAAATAAATGTAGAGAAGTTCATTCTTCCAGAAGAGACTCTCCTGGGAGCCATTTAACCCTGACTGTTCCTGGGTTATTTTTCTCCTGGATCAGCCATTTTTGCCCTGGGAGAAAAATGAATGCCTGTACACTCGTGGTTTCTACTAGGAAAGTAGTGACTCTCCCAGGAGAAAATAAATGTCTGTATGTGGCTTAAACCAGCTCCATTTTCTAACTTCTGGGCTGTCATGCTCTAAGCGGTGCTTCCAAGTTTGCCACAGAGACTGCACAGACATAGGCTAGGAGTGTTAGGATTTTTCCCCCTCTTAAATGTTTTCTTAGTCATATTAATTTGGGTTGATCATCAAAATGTGGCCCATTCTAACAGAGAACCCACTATCTACGCATCAGTAGAGATGCTTCAATAGCAGTAAGATGGATGGGTGGGGCTTATACCAGCCCTAATAGCATTTTAAGTGACACCACTTCAAAGCCATGAATTAGCCTGGAGTACTTACTCCAGAAAAGCAACAGACTTATAGAAATGAGTTTTACCAGCCTCAAAATGACAGCTGTGGGCTACTATGGGAGACCATCAAGAACAAATCATCTTTAGGAAAAAATATAGTGACACAAATATTAACAAGAAACAATGCTGATATTTGCTGTGCTCTCACTCATTCTTTGTCATTCTCTTTTCCTTTAAATATTTGCTTCTATTTTTTTTTAAGAAAAGGAAAGAATCTTGTGACAGGGATGTGGCTAGTAAAGAGTTAGCAGATGTACAAAACATTTCCCTCTACTGATTGACTAATCTCTGAATTGATATTTCTATAACACCTAAATTTTACTCACATGTCCTCCAACATGAATTCAACATCCAACTCCTCCTTTCTCTGAAAACAAGGGGAGAAAATACATGAAATCATGAAGCCAAAACGGATAGCCTTACTAGTTGGCAGACTGGGGCACAAGTAGCTTCTGCAAAGTATCTTAAATTTTTGTGAGACAAGTAGTGTTCTCCATGTTTTGATGCCTAACAGTATTCTGCTTTCCAGGTGTTGTTTTAATTACATTTTCAGGTATAAGCTATAAAAATCTCTGGATTAGGATGTTCACGTGTATAAAATAAGTTTATCTGCCCCTTTGTTAAACGAGGGATCTTGTGTCCATTAATAAATATTGACCTCATACTTCACTATTACCAGATATGTTTTTTTTTCTTACCAGTACAGTGCAATTCCTGTTCCAAAAATCATAGACCCTACTCTGACCCTATTATCAGGGCAATAGCAACAATTTATATTCTACTACCTTTAGACTTTATAGCATCTAACATGAGAAATTTTGGAAGCACTTTACTCAAATTATTTTGTTCATAACATTTCTTTTTCTATTGAATAAAAGTTTTCCCTATCCCAATTTGCAGCAGGAAATGAAGTCACCAAGAGATTGACTTGCACAAGACTGCATGTAGAAATAAATTAGGCTACAATATTGGCTAGGTCCCCTTCTACCAGTTCTACTTTTCAACTTCAAAAAACAATTTTTTAATGACCTAATTGAGAGTGTCAACTCTTACAATTTTATCATTGATGATAAATCAGCAAACATATCAAACCCTTCCCAAACTCCTCTGAAAAAGTAGATTGAGATTGTGATCAAACAAGAAGAGGGCACCAGGCAATGTAGGGCCCCTGTGAGATGCAAGCGGTAATCTTGTGGCTATGCCAGACAAGAAAGCTGATATTTTTAACAGTTTCTTTGCCTCTGTTTTCTTGAACAGGGACTGGGATATCCCACCTACCAGAGGTAGGGACAATCTTTGGGATAGCTCTGTCAGGCCTTCAGTCAGCGCAGATGTAGTTAGGGATCTTCTGGAACGGCTAGACATTTTTAAATCTGCAGGTCCAGATACCCTCCACTCAAGGGTGTTGAGGGAGCTGGCAGGGGTCATTGCAGAGCCCTTGGCCTGGCTGTATGAGCATTCGTGGTCATTTGGCCAGGTGCCAGGGGATTGGAAACTGGCTAATGTGGTCCCAATTTTCAAGAAAGGGAGGAAGGAGGACCCAAGTAACTATAGGCCTGTAAGCCTCACCTCGGTGCTCGGGAAGATCTTGGAGAGAATCATCAAGGAGCACATCTGTGGGGGGCCTGCAGGGGAGATCATGCGCAGGGGCAATCAGCATGGGTTCATCAAAGGCAGGTCCCTGCCTGACCAACCTGATTGCCTTTTATGACCAGGTAACTAAATCCTTGGATGACGGTGTTGCCATGGATGTAGTCTTTCTAGACTTTAAGAAGGCCTTTGACACTGTCTCTCACCCCATCCTCATCAATAAATTAAGTGACTGTGGCACTGATGCCTACACAGTTGGAAGAGAGAGGCTGCAACTAGATTTAGACAGACTACAAAAGTGGGCAGATGAGAATAGGATGGAGTTCAACGTAGACAAATGCAGGGTGCTGCACCTTGGGAGAAGGAATCCACAGCATACATTCAGGCTGGGGAGTTCCCTTCTTGAAGGCACAGAGGCAGACAGGATCTTGGAGTCATTATGGACTCCAAGATGAACATGAGCCGCCAATGCCAGACTGCAGCCAGCAAGGCCAGCCATACCTTGTCATGCATCCAAAGATTCATCTCAAGCTGGTCCAGAGAGGTGATACTCCCCCTCTATGCGACTTTGGTCAGGCTGCAGTTGGAGTGCTGCATCCAGTACTGGGCGCCGCACTTCAAAAGGGATGTGGCCAGCCTGGAGAGGGTTCAGAGGAGGGCCACCCACTTGATGAGAGCGCAGCAGGACAGGCCCTACAAGGAGAGACTGAGGGCCCTGAACCTGTTCAGCCTCAGCAAGAGGAGGCTGAGGGGGACCTGGTGGCTGCCTACAAACTCATCAGGGGAGATCAACAGCAAATAGGCAGAGCCCTTTTCTCCCCAGCACCACCTGGGGTGACAAGGATCAATGGTAATAAGCTGATGGAGAATAGGTTTAAGGTTAGAGATCAGAAGGCAATATTTTACATTTAGGGTGGCCAAAATCTGGAATCAACTTCCCAGGGAAGTGGTCCTCGCCCTTACCTTGGGCAATTTCAAGAGGAGGCTGGATGATCACCTGTCTGGGGTCTTGTGAACCCGGCATTCATTCCTGCCTGTAGCAGGGGATCAGGCTAGATGATCTGTTCAGGTCCCTCCTGACTCTAGCTACTATGAAACTATGAATTCAGTTCAGTGTCAAGTGCAATTTTGGAGATGCTTTCTTCTGTCATAGGCTGACAGGAATCAATATGGATAGACCAGACCACTCATACTTTACGTTAAAAAAAACAACAACAGAAAAAAGTTTAGGAGAAAAAACAAACAAATTCTTTCTACTCAGTTCTTGTCATATTAGTCCTCACCTGTGGATTTAATTGAAATGAAATAAAAACTGTTTCTCCAAGGGGAAGTTTAGCTATATCAAAGAGAACAATCAGGTGATCATCGTCTTGGTTAATATCTTCATCAAATATGGTCAGTTCCAAGACATTCTAGGAAGAGAAATGAGAAAAATATTGTTAATTCGTATGCACCCAGGAAAGAGGATGTTTGAGAAATAATTCACGCTTGGTATGTGTTTATAAGAAAGCGAAATAAAAAAGAAAGTGATTAGAGAAAAACTGGCACACAGCAGAAGATGGAGAGAATAGGTGTTTAATCTGACTTTAAGAAGATATATGTTTCCTTTTATAAATTAAGGTTGTAGTGGAAATTCATTTGTGTTGTCATTTTCACTTGCCAATATTTTGTGACAAATTTTCCATCTAGATAATGTGTTAATTTAATTTTAGATGTAGCGAATCTCATATTAAGCACTCTACAAGGTCACATTTCTAGGTTTTCTGTGAGTTTTACTGATCCATACACCTTCAAGGTTAACACAGAACTAATTGTACTGAATATGCATTTAGATATAATGTTCTTATTAGTACCAGTATTCAGTCTGGATAAACTGATTAATTTTGTTCAAACTTGGTAGTTCTTATTCCTAGTCCTTTGCTTTCTCTATTATCCCATGCTTCCTTTCAGTAAGATTTTGTTCCAAATATTTGTTGATTTTGACTTTGTCCCAGGGGAGCTGGGGTTGCAGGAGGGCCCCAGGCCAAAGGAGAGCCCCACTTACCTCTCGCAGAGCCCGAAGAGCCGGAGGAGATGCGCGCAGTGAAATAGCCATTGCGGGTGATTAGCCACGTGCATATCCAGCTGCGGCCGAGGAGTGTGGGCGGGAGACGCCACCCGGCGGAAATAAAAAGCGGCTCCGACAATGCGGCGGGGCAGCTGACGAGTAAAGGCTTGAGGGGAGAGCCATCACATGGAGGGGATCAGCCGCCGCGCCTGGCTGCGTGGAAAGTTGGGGGCGGAGCCAGGAGAGGCTCCAACGGAGTCGGCAGCGACACCAACAACAGAGCCGGCAGGGAAGCCGGCGGTAATGCCGACAACAGAGCCAGCTGGAAAGCCGGCAACGACGTCAACAGAGAGGCCGGCGGCAAGGCTGACAGCAGAGCCGATGGAAGCAGTAGGGACGTCATCCACAGAAGCGGCAGTAAAGCTGGGAGCAATGCTGGCAGAGGGTATAGCAGCTGCACCTACAGCAGAACTGGCAGCAGCACCCACGAAGGAACCGGAGACAGGCGCAGAGAGAGCAGTGTTGCGGCAAGCTGGCGCTGAGACCGAGAAGTGAGCCTGCACGAAAGCCTTGGAGAGGAGGTAACAGGGGGCGTGGCCAATGGGGCCTCGTCAGGCTGCACCGGAGGGCAGCCAAAGACCCAAAGTGGGGCTGGACAGTTGACCTTCGTGGCCCACAGCGGCCTTAGGAAGAGGCGGGGACTCAATACCCTAGTGGGGTGAGCCGCCGGGGCTGTGGAACCCGGGCCCAGTAGCTTAGGGGCATTAGTGGTCACGGTGGTGGGATTGGTATGTCACATCACAGGGTGATTAGTATAGGACAGTAGAGAATCTACCTTGAGGGACCAGGTCCGAGGACTTTGTGGACCATACACCAAGGCCCGAAGACTCAGTCACGCAGTTGGCAAGCCGTGGACAGAGATTGGGGAAGAGCTGAGAACACCAAAGGGGCCCGAAGATCGGCAACCCAAGGTGGTGAGTGGCCGGGGTGTAGGGGAGGTCGGAGCCCCGTGAGTGCCCGCCGGGAGGCGTGCTGGAGGCTGCCCCAAAGGGGAACCCCTCCACTGAAGCAACATTCCAAGTTGTGGCAGGCGAGTTAAGGGGACCCCCTGAAGTCAGCAGGGGTAGCCTGTGGGGTCCACCCGCAAGCCCAGGACGGGCGCGGTCCATAGTCTGGGCTAAAGCCACATGGGAGCGCTTAATCGAACGGAGGCAGGCACAGACTTGTATTTCATCAGTTGCATGTGTTGCCATCCTATACATCTCTCTTTTTTACCAGAGCATCTAAAATAAGTATACAAAAATGAAGCAGCCTTCAGGCATACTAAATGATCTCAGGAGTAGGTTAGAACAGTTAAAATGATCCCAAGAAGAGTTTTTAGTGCAGTTTAAATGAAAAGATATTAGATGCAAACAGGGTGAAGTTACATGTTATACTTAGACCACACTAAATATGAGGAATGTTAAGAGGTGTTGAAGTTAAAATATGCTGTGAGTGGTTACATGTTGAGGGTTAATACCATTTCTTGCCTGCATAACTCTAACTTGCCACTAGAGGGCATGGCTAGGAGCCAGGACACCTGGGATCTACCACTGCTCTGGGCAGGAGGTAGCTGGAAGCAGTGAATTCTGGGATGCTGGAGAACTGCAAATTGCTTGTTTTATCTCTGTTGAGCAGATTGAAGTTGCCTTAACATGAGCTAGGTAATATGGCCCTGAAGTGCCATAACTCTGAGACACTCAGAGGGCACTTAGTACAAGTTAATGAGCTTTAACATGAGGATTTTTGCATTGTAAGTGTATTTAGTATGTTCTAAGAGTAACAAGTAACTTCACTGTTAGAAAATCGGAAAGTCTTAGCCCTGCCTAGATTGGCAGGATCTGCCTATAGATGAGACTCAAGAGAAAGTTCTAGGTGTTTTTGTCTACCTTGATCTGACTCTGGATCCTGAAATAGAAGGTTTCATTCCAAACAGGATCTTTGCAGTTTGAGACAGCTTTAGTTCGTAACTTTTCAGACGAAGAAGATGGCAACCAGAGGCTCACGTAGCAATCAGTTTTATTTACTGTAGAAGAAAAATAAGAATAATTTGTAAGTCAGCAGTGTATCCCATGCAAAATTGATTAACTCAATACACTAGTAAATTTCATGCTAATATTCTAATATAATAAAGGGCTTAGTCCATCCGTCTATCTGTCCATAATGCTCTTGGAACACTCCGATTTGGTTACTGAAACAACCAATCAGAGTGCTCCAAGAGCATTATGGGCAGGAGGTGGCGATGGTGGAGTGGCAAAGTGCCACCATGACTGCAGGGATGGAGGGGAAGGAGTGGGGGGGGGTTAGCAAGCTTTCCCCCCTCCATCTCTGCCCCCTCCCCCCCATCATTCTTGAATGGCAATTTGCTAGTTTTCAACATAAACTGGCAAAAGAGAGAACAGGTAGGTGGTACAGTAGGAGAGACCACATTACAAAAGTTCT